GTCGGCATAGTTTATGGTTAAGACTACGACGGTATCTGATCGTCTTCGATCCCCTAACTTTCGTTCCCTGATTAATGAAAACATCCTTGGCGAATGCTTTCGCAGTAGTTAGTCTTCAGCAAATCCAAGAATTTCACCTCTGACAGCTGAATACTGACGCCCCCGACTATCCCTATTAATCATTACGGCGGTCCTAGAAACCAACAAAATAGAACCGCACGTCCTATTCTATTATTCCATGCTAATGTATTCGAGCAAAGGCCTGCTTTGAACACTCTAATTTTTTCACAGTAAAAGTCCTGGTTCCCCCCACAGCCAGTGAAGGCCATGAGATTCCCCAGAAGGAAAGGTCCAGCCGGACCAGTACTCGCGGTGAGGCGGACCGGCCAGCCAGACCCAAGGTTCAACTACGAGCTTTTTAACTGCAACAACTTTAATATACGCTATTGGAGCTGGAATTACCGCGGCTGCTGGCACCAGACTTGCCCTCCAATTGTTCCTCGTTAAGGGATTTAGATTGTACTCATTCCAATTACGAGACCCAAAAGAGCCCCGTATCAGTATTTATTGTCACTACCTCCCCGTGTCGGGATTGGGTAATTTGCGCGCCTGCTGCCTTCCTTGGATGTGGTAGCCGTTTCTCAGGCTCCCTCTCCGGAATCGAACCCTAATTCCCCGTTACCCGTTGCCACCATGGTAGGCCACTATCCTACCATCGAAAGTTGATAGGGCAGAAATTTGAATGAACCATCGCCGGCGCAAGGCCATGCGATTCGTTAAGTTATTATGATTCACCAAGGAGCCCCGAAGGGCATTGGTTTTTTATCTAATAAATACACCCCTTCCGAAGTCGAGGTTTTCAGCATGTATTAGCTCTAGAATTACCACAGGTATCCATGTAGTAAGGTACTATCAAATAAACGATAACTGATTTAATGAGCCATTCGCAGTTTCACAGTATAAAGTGCTTATACTTAGACATGCATGGCTTAATCTTTGAGACAAGCATATGACTACTGGCAGAATCAACCAGATACCTAGTTCCTGCAGGGTGTGTCCGGGAGCGCATCCGGAGATACGCACCGCAAAACGCACCCCAAAGCCTCCGAAGAGGCAGCGTGTAACGTAGGCTTCACTCTGGAAGGGGCACACGAAGTGCCCGGCCACAGCGACACCCCCGGCGCACCGGGAGTACACAGATGACCATCCAATTGCCCCCACTGTAGCCCCCCAGGAACCGGTCCGCACGCAGGTAGACCCGGCCAGGAATCGCCCTTGCAGGCGCTGGCAGGCTGCGGCATACGGCCCTCGGGTGGAGGGTCCAGACCCCGCGGACACGCCGACGAACGGCGGCTCCCGCGGGGCGGCTCCCCCCGGGAATCTGTAAAAGAAGGCTGGCCAGCGGCCAACGATCCACAGACTCCATCGGTGCCGGGGACCGAGAACGGCCCCGGACTTCAGACACCCCGGCAACAACGGGCACCCCCGGGCATGATTAAGCCGGCGTGTCTCTGACTCGGCAAGCTACAGATCCCCACGGCACGATATCTCAGGGGTCACGGGCGCGTCCGCATGGGACACTCCGGACCTCCAGTCGACTCGCAGCCGTGGGGCAGAGCACCTAAGACCAGAGAACACACCAGCCGCGCGGGAGGAATACCAACGGGCCGGGGTGGGCGGGCACCCCCGTTCCTGAAGCGAGGCCCCGAAGGACCTGTGCGCCACCAGTCACGGAGAGGTGACCTGCCTGGCAGGGAAGAAGTGTGGGTGGGCTTCCAGCAGCTGAGATCAGCTGCCTTTCACCTTCCACATAGTACCACCGGCCTTCCCTGGCCCACGGACCGGCGCGCAAACGTTCGATGGTCCAAAAGTGACTGGGGGGGGAGTCGTTTAGTATGTGGTGGTCCGTGCGTCGACCGCTTTTCCCATACAAAGTGGGCCACCCGCACATGCCCCCTACCCGGGCTGCAAGGGGACTTAGGCATTTTGTCCATCCTCGCGGCCCGTTACGCTACCATACGCTCCGTCGTGACGCCCGTTGTGCTCGTTTTCGCAAACCGCACTCGGCCGCCCGCGGCGCCAACACCCACTCCTGTGTGCCCTTCCACTCCTCCGCCCACCCGCCAGTCACGCCGGTTAACGGTCCGAGGTGTCGATGCATGGCTATGTGGAGAGATCGATCTGTGGATCTGCCGGCCCGTTCTGCGTGCGAACCTGCATGAGAGGCGCCGTCGGTGGGCTAGGTCGAGGATACCTACAAGGAATTCTACGGGGCGTGTACACGATGTGGAATATAACATGTTGGGTTGGATCTGTTGTATATCTACCTATCTACATGATGCATTGGATATATTGTTGTCGTATGTACTTTGAGCGACGAACGGGGGATTTGGTCGGAGCCGTCGGCTGGCTATGTTGTATCACTACCAAGTACTACCAGGTGGTCCCTGGCGATATATATATATATATATATATATATATGTATATACATATATCTCTC